TGTGGAACCTTCTGTATAACCCTAACTTTTAGTGTCACAGGAGTCAGGATCCCACAGTTTTGCCCTTTCAGTGGAGTCATAAAATCGGCAAGATGGCTAGAAACAAGGTAGAGGAGAATCTAAGGAATAGGGACTACAGGATGAAAGTGTTTGTGGAGCATTAACTGTACTGTGACTAGAAAGAACACCGTAAAGACTGATCCAATGAAAAAAAGCCAACAGGCGAGCGTCAAGTACTTCAGTTCATATGGGGATAAGAAAGCGTGTTCAAGATAGAAATAAACAGCCAGAGTTTTTCTTCTGTTTTTGGACAAGTTTTGGAATACGGGAGCTACATTTTTGGTCACATCGTCTTGCTTGAGAATCTCTCACCACAAGCATTTGTGATGTATAAACTACACTACCTGACAAAAGTCTTGTCGCCTATCCAGGTTTTAGGATTGACAAACAATAACTTGACTTCTAGTTGATCATTTGGCATAAGAAGTGGCTTATGTGAAAGGCAAGTCCTCTAGTTTACACTTATTTTACCAAAATAAATTATGACCACGCCTTGATTTTTAATTATTTAATCAGGACAGTAAGGTCTGACTTTATTTAGGCAAAAGTCTTGTAACTTAACAGAAATAATGTACAGTAAAGAATATAAAGTCATGGTGTAGTGGATAATATTGTGTATGACTCCCATGAGCTTGGACGACTGCATCCATACATCTCTACATTAACTCAAATCACTTATTAATAAAGTCATCTGGAATGGCAAAAAAGTGTTCTTGCAGGACTCCCGGTACATCAGGATTTTTTGCAATTATCTTCAATCCCTCCTCCTCCATTTTGCCTAAGACATGCTCAATAATGTTCATGTCTGGTGACTGGGCTGGCCAATCCTGGAGCACCTTGGCCTTCTTTGCTTTCAGGAACGTTGATGGGGAGGCTGAAGTATGAGAAGGAGCGATATCCTGCTGAAAAATTTGCCCTCTCCTGTGGTTTGTAATGTAATGGGCAGCAGAAATGTCTTGATACCTCAGGCTGTTCTTGTTGCAGATCTTTAGCACTCCCCCATACTGAATATAACCCCAAACCATGATTTTTCCTTCACCAAACTTGACTGATTTCTATGAGAATCATGGGTCTATGTGGGTTCTAACAGGTCTTCTGCAGTATTTGTGATGATTGGGATGCAGTTCAACAGATGATTCACCAGAAAAAAATCTACCTTCTGCAACTTTTAAAATGATCAACTAGAAGTCGAGATATTATTTGTTGTTTTTACAACTGGGATCGACGACAAGACTTTTAGTCAGGTGGTGTATGTCCTATAACACTTGCAGCGAATCAGTAGATAGGGGTAAGTCTAGTAATAATAAGAGAAATTTTTAAAAAGCGGCAAGGTTCTGCTGTGGTTGCTAATGTTATGTTAATCCTCTTTCGTATACATTGTGCTGTGTTATTCAATAACTGAAGCTGTAAATATCAGAAATTAGACACATGGCACTATTTTATCAAACTGAGCACTCATTTCTTTGACTGGTGTGCTGCCTTGTTGCAGACGATCTGCTGTATTATGGGTTTAGATTAAACTGAAAGTAGCCTGCTGTGAACATGAACTTACTACTTCAATCTAACTTTATTTTAAGTGAATAAAAAGGAAAAAAAAAAGACGAAGGAAGCCTTCATTCTTTCCCCCATATTTATTACATCCATTCCTTAAATATTTTTGTTGAACACACTGTAACAGTTTTAATGAACAAAATGCAAAATTAGCAGTTAAAAAAAAACTGATAATGCTTTCAGTAGATTCAATGTGGAAACTTAAATCCAATGACCACGCCGTTCTAAACTTTTGACAAACATATATCAGACCATTCAGATTTATAATCCAACAACGCAATGATTATTGCTTTAAAAACAAAACGAAAAGAAACAAAGAACAGAAATGCCTGAAATTGATTTTCTGTGTACATGTTTCTTAAATCTACAGAAGTAAAAATATCTGAGATATAAAACACCACATTGAAATCGATTTAGATACACACTTTGTTTTTTTGTTTTTGTTATCGAGGATAAGTCCCATTTCCAGAAACGGGTTTAATGTACTGAATCCACAAAAAATAATCACTTTGGAGGATGAGGAAGAAGAAGATACAATATAGAGGAATACAATACATAGCATTAATATGCGCATTACACTGTATGGAGGTTGTCCATTTCTAAGTACAATCCTCAGGACAATCATTCATTCACTCATTCCGATGCAAAAATAGGATAAAATCTGAAGACAAAACAATACAGCCAAAACCCATTTGATGAAATCATTCGCTTGCTCCTGGCACAAAAAAAAACATCCACCTGAGATTGGGCAGGCAATCACACCACACTCCCTAAATGACACTAAAACAGTGGTTGTGTTGTTCCTGATGGCAAATGGATGCTCCAATTTAAGATTGTGTTTAAGATCTAGCCATATTTAAACTGATTAAAGGGTTAGTTTAACTCAAAATGAACTTTTTTGTCATTTATTCAATCTTATGTCAAGCCAAACCTATAAGAACTTCAAAACACAAAAGACATTTTTAATTCCTCCATTGAAAGTCTGTTTACTGAAAACTCACACTCCAAAACATGCAATCTAAATATAGCAAGTGTGCTATTTCTGAGCCTTCAGAACACAATTGCAGGTGATGGACAGATTTAATTTAGGCCTTTATTTATATATAAACATTAAAAAGCTCAACCATACTTGCAAACCTCATTGGTTCATGCAATAACTCAATCATGCCCATGTGACATGCAAGAACAAACCTCATTGGTTGAGATTCTTGAACCAAACTGTAATGCGGTAGGCGTTGTTCGCTAATTGATTACAGATTAAATCTGTTAACCATATAATCCCATCATGTGGGATTAAATCACTCAATTCATATGGATTCATAGTGTGTTATCTGTTATGAACAAGTTTCGAATTAAAAGACTTTCAATTGAGGAACTGAAATCTCTCAAATGACATTAAAAGCATGAGTTGAAAATCACAAGACTTGAAAATCATGACAAAATTATTTATTTTAGAATAACCAAACTATTTAAAGATAAACTTCCAAAACTGTAATTGTATTTCAATAGAAACAGAACAACCACTATATGAACTTCAAATCAGGAAGGGCCACCTTGGTTTGTTGAGTTTATTATTTAATTTAAAACCACTGAAAACAGCCCTCCGTGACAAATTCAAGACCCAACAAGTCCATTTCTCCCTAAATCCTCATATTCAGGTACGTTCTTCCAGAACAAAAGGACACTGACTATCAAAATGTAGCTTTACATGCTCAGACATACACAAAGCAGTTCAAACCATTTAATTTACAGAGATAAAAGTCAAGACAGGCTCGGTGGGAGATGAGGCACAATGTTAAATTAGTATCTTCCTTGCAAATGACCAAAAGCTAACGGCTAAAATTGAATTAAAACACCGCTGACAGCCTTCCAGAGCAGTTGTTGAAAAGTTAAAGTAACGGAAAGCTAAAAATGCCCGAATTAGCCTGAAGCTCACACTGCAGAGGCCCGAAGGGAGGTGGGAATGACTTAACAGCCATGTGCGGCTACGTGTCACGGCAATGAGCGGTAGTTAGAGGTGAACAAACCACTTGCTCCAGCCAAACCCTCCTGAAAGTGGTCAAATGTGGGCTACTCCATCTGGAACAACAGTGGCGGAGAAAAGAAAACCAGAAACTCTCAGTATGTTAGGGATATCCAGACGTCAGCCAGACGAAACAATGAAAACTGTGCAAGCTATTTACAGATCTGTACAGAATGCATCACGTCTACTTGCTACGGAAACAACTATGTTAGAAAGCAAGAGGAAAAAGATTGGTTTAAATCAATGGAGTGGCTATGCTAAAGCAATTCAGGGACTGTGTGGGTCAATTAAAAAGGGAATGTTCTTACGTATTTAAAATGAAAGGAGCGAAATTGTTTCTTCTTTGGCTAATGTTTTGGCAATCAGGCAAACAGAAGACAGTTCTGCAGTTAAGACTTTTAAGATACTGAATAAGGTCAAAGAACTTCACATCTTTTCTACCGTGGACAAAAAAAGCAAACACAACTGACGGCAATGAGAAAGAAACAGCAATGGGTGGATGGCTTTTCTGTCCAGTCCTCTTCGCTTTGAAATCCAGATTGCACGTCTTCGTTGTTGTCGTTCCCTCCCCCGCCATCCTTTCTCTCTCTCTCTCTCTCTGAGACTTGCAATTAAAACGTTCCTCAGTGGACAGGAGACAATTATCAAGTAAATTAGGTGTATTTTAGTGCAAATGTTCAAAACTAATGCGCTCATGAGCAACAAAACATCAACAGAAGCGGATGTAAAGTACTGAAATGGGAGGTAATTTCTTCTGACTTGATATGAAAGGAGCTTATGAATCATTATGTATGTGTGTGTATGTATGTATGTATGCATGTGAGCCTGCTCATGTGCCATGTTTTTTCACAGCACTGGATCCACACCGTGCTAGCTTGTGCTTGTAACCTTACGTAAATGCATACGAAACACTGAATTTATGCGGCCAAAGTCTGTCCTCGTTCATCCTCTGCAGATCGGAAAGCAAATGAAGTTGAAAGCATGTGCGTTTTTTGTTAAAGTGTTTAGCGTGCAGAGGAAAACTCGCTTCAGTGTTTGCCCTTTGGTGTGTCTGGTATGGAAATTTAGAAGGTCAGGCAATGAAAGAATAGAAAACACAATATGCTTGTGTGGAAAATGATCACTGCGCATCCACAAAAGTACTAGAACGATGCTGACGCTGATGCATGTCTGGGGTAAGCATGAAGTTTAGCAGGCTGAATGAAGCCTCCATGTTGTTATCGAGAAGACCCAATTATTATGAAGCGAAGTGGGGGGGTGAGTACAACTCTAGAGAAACTCCCAGCATGTCTTTGCTTTAGCTTGTGTGATGGCAGCAGTGAGTGAAGGCACACTCTACTGGTCAGTTCAGAGGCTCTGCAGGGCTGGACGGGCACCGTGGGCATGGCGGCTTCCTCAGTGGGTACTCTGCTCGACACGGGCCAGACTACTTGGACGTGGTGCTCCGTAGAGAGTCACTGAAGCTATGTGGTTGTTCTGCATGACCTGTAACCATAGCAACAAAATGGAGCTGAGATGCAGTAAGTGTGAATGACTTATCACGCTTAGCATGACTTAAAATGACTTAGCATCATACTGGTTATTTGCTAGTAAAAATTGCCATTGCCCTTTTAACATTTAAAGAGACAGTTCATCCAAAATTGAACATTCTGTCATATGTTACTTTCCATCCACTTGTTTTAAACTAGTTTGAGTTTCTTTCTTTTGTTGAACACAAAAGAAGATATTTTGAAGAATGTTGGAAAAGAGCAGCCATTGACTTCCATAGTAATTGTTTCTAGTATTTATGTCAGTGATTGCAGGTTTCCAACATTCACTCATTCATTCATTTTCTTTTTAGCTTAGTCCCTTTACCCTTAATCCGGGGTCACCATAGTGGAATAAACAGCTAACTAATCCAGCATATGTTTTACGCAGCTGATGCCCTTCCAGCTGCAGCCCATCAGTGGGAAACACCCATACTCTCTCATTTACACACATACACTACGGACAATTTAGCTTATCCATTTTACCTATAGCGCATGTCTTTGGAAACTCATGCGAACATGGGGTGAACATGCAAAATCCACACAGAAATGCAACTGACCCAGCCGGGGCTCAAACCTTCTTGCTGTGAGGTGACATCTATTTCCACCACACCACTGTGTTGTCGTTCCCAACATTCTTCAAAATATCTTCTCTTGTGTTTAACAAGATAGAAATGCAAATAAGTTTAGAACCACTTGAGTGTGAGGACATGACGAGGAAATTGTAATTTTTGGGTGAACTTTGCCTTTTACCTACATTTGCATAAAAAATCTCAATTGATTTGAAGCAGATTTTCAAAATTGAGAAAACATCTTCAGTTTGACAACATGCATGCTAACTCTCAAAACACATGCAAATAGAGAAAAACACAAATAGAGAATTGTATTTAATGTTCACACAGCTACATTACACATCAACTAAGTTTAAAATATGATTTCGTAGTGGACCACCCCTTTAATGTCCTGGTCTAATATTTCTTAGTTGTTTGTATATTTTTAGCTCTAATAACTGTTCAAAAATGTTCAAAAGGCTGACAAGTTCAAAATGTGTTACTTGTAAAATGTGTTACTTATCTCAATGCTTAATCTGTCGTTTGTAGATATTTATTTTATAAACTTTATTTATTTTTTTAAGCAACTTTTTATACAGGCTGACCAAGTAAAACAAACAGAAACAAACCCAGATGGATACAACTGACCCAGTCACATACCTCAAATATCATTCTCTGCAGTCCAAAACAAAACGTGGAACCAAAAGGGTTGGTGTTGTTTGCAGAAGATGACCTGTAGAGAAATGCACAATTAATCAGAGCGGTATAAACGTTTTAGTTTTTATTCAGGGAGTAACATTTTGTCAAATTACAGCTATTAAAAAAATCTTTTCAGTGGAAATAACATGCATACGTTTTGTTTTCAATCCAAAAACTATTGTACATAATCAGGGCTTGACATTAACTTTTTTGATCATCAGCCACTGTGGCTAGTAGTTTTCCAACATTACTAGCCACATTTTCACTAGCCACAATATTATTGATAAGAAAATATATTTTATACACATGAATATGGTTTTGACATGCTAAAATTACTTGATTTAGATGTTGCATTATCTCCACATGCCTCCTCATTCATTTAACTTTTTGTGTGTGGTGTATGAGCTTGCACAATAATTATGAGCAAATGGGTCATGGTTTTATAGTATTACAATTAGTTTTTATTTTACATAATTTTCAAAGCTCAAAATGAAGGATTTACCAAATTTATCTCTGACCACACCAAACACAAGCAATTAATCATTTCTCAGGCACAAATTTTATATGTGTCAAAACAAGCAAAATATAGCTGTATACTATACTTTTTCTTTAACAAAACATATGCGCAGTAGTCTGTCCTGGCTAAAGGTCCCAAATCACCAGTTAACTACACATAAATGGGGAGTTTATCTCCCATTAAAACAAGGTTATTGTAATAAAAAAAAAAAGATAATTAAACCATATTAACGCAAAAGAAAGCAGGTAAAAACATACCATGTGATAATGAAAGGAAGATCACACACACACAGTTTACATTAGACCCATTAATAATCTATTCAAAGAATGGTTAAAGTGAAAGCAACCAGTGCTACTTCCAAAAAGACAAATCTGGAACTCTTGAAAGCAGCAAGACTGTGGGTGCATGTTCATCACTTTTTGTCTAGTCTATTTAAAAGAGAACCGATCACATCAGTTGTGTTTCTAGACACAGCTGCTTCACGCAAGGAAACGGGAGCGCGCAAGCGTTTTAAACAGTCGCACGCATCACCTCAGCTGTTATCTTCTCATTCGGTATTCACCTGCTATCTATTGCTCACGCGAAGGCAATTTTTTTTGTCAGTCATGTTGCTTCTCAATTCTAAGATCGCCTTTGCATGCATATTAGACCATCCTTATTGTCGAACCCTGCTTTTAAGAATTATTATCCAGGGAAATTATTTTCAACCAGCCAAAGTGGCTAGTGGGAGTGTCTCTTACCCGCCACCGATGAAATCTACCTGCATTTGGTGGGTGTTAATGTCAAGCCCTGTGGATAATATAACGTTTGCGCACACACTTATATTTGGTTAAAAATAGAAAAACAAATATCTTGTTGCATAAATATATAATTTCCTAATTAATGCATCCATATTAGTTTTTCTAGATGCATTTAAATAGTTTTCATCGGACAAAGAATGTTTTGAAGATGCATTTTTGTTCGTTTCTTGCAGAATGATTGACATACTCCAAAATGTTGGCTCACACATTGTTTAAACAACATTATTGTAGACCATAAATATCACTAACCACTCCGAAATAGCCCTCACCTGTGTAGCACAACTGGTTTTTCCATAGGGTGTCCCAGCAGCTCCTGAATCTGATCCCACTGAGTGCAAAGAATTAGCACACACTTAAAAACACTGCAATTATGGGTCACATAAAGCACTCTGTATGCATGCATTACTGTCTCAGTCCTTGAACTCACTTTGCTGTAGGTGGTCAAAATGCAGTCCTCGCTGTGAGCATCCGCTCCATCTGAAACACAATTCAAAGATAGTGTCTCAAACACAAAAATGAGCACATATAATAATGACCCAGTCCAAAGAGAGTCTCATAAACAACGCTGACCTTTTTTAATGATGAGAGGAATCTTGAAATCACAGCGATGATATCTGAGAAAAGAGTGAGGGTCAGTTATTCTGACGCTTTTGTAAGCAGTATGCGATAAAGAAACCACACACTTATAAACACTGTAAACGTTATGAAATGAAAATCAATATTCAATCCATATGCCCAGACTGCAGAGCCTCCAGAATGACCTTGCCATAAGGACTGACCAATGCAAATAGACATTACTAAATATTTACAATGCTACAATACAGAGAGTGAAATAGGACTCACATGTTGAAGTTGTAATGGCCAGGGAAGTTGGTGTGAAGGACAAATTTTTTGACCAGGTGGGTTGTTGAGTCAAACAGTATATCCTACAACATATACAAAGATCAATATTACAGAAAGACCTACAGTTTCCTAAATTTCGTAGAAGTAAAAAAGCAGTTTTTATACATATTTAATGAATTATGTATATTCTGTAGCATACTAAGAATCATAAAAGATACAATTGAAAAAGAACTAAATTAAAGAACATTTTAAAAATGTTTCTGGTGTTAATCTGGATTGCAGCGGTTAGTTATCTAAAAAAACAAATACATTTAATTTGGCTAACCAATTTTATAGTTTTCACTGACTTTGCAAGATGATGAGCCTTTCTAAAGTGACTGACACCTGTGTAAAGTGTATAAAAAAGTCAGTTAAAAGTGATGGAGAAAGAGTCATGGTTTTGGGGTTTTCTGCAGCAGGAGTTTGGTCTCTTATACAGCTACATGCACCTGTGAATGCACATTTATCAGAAGCTCCTTTCCAACATGCAATTTCTTCCATGCATTAATAAATCAGCCAATAATTCTCATTCAGGACAATGAGCCCTCTCATATAGCAAAACAGGCAAAGCAGATCTTTGAAGATGTATTTCAATATGATGAAATGGCAGCCCAGAGTCCTGGTGTAAAACTGATTGAGAATCAGAAAAACTACTGGCGTGGTATAGCCACTACTACACTGTAAAAAATGCTGGGTTCCACACAGTTTTTTAAGGTTGTTCCAACTGTTACAAGTAGTTGTTGTAGTGTAGTGTGTGAGGTGTTTCTTTCCCCCTCTCTCTCTCTCTCTCTCTCACTCTCTCTCATTTCCAAGTATTCGCAGGTGCAGCGGATTAGCCTACGTCGGATCATGATTGGCGGCGGCTGTATTTAAACCTTCAGAGAGCATGGATTCGATGGCTCCCAGCTCTCTCTCGATTCCCTGCTTGGTCTCAGTGGAGATATTGTTGCTCAAGTGATAAAATGAGTGTTCGTTGCTGATGTCTCTTGTGTGGCGTTTTGTGAGATGCCGATGTGATGTTAATTCTAACCGGAGAAACCCAGTTTTCTGTCTCCCTGTCTGGCTCGGAGCATGGTAGGTAGTTTGATGCCTTCTGTTTATTATTTTCGTTTTCTCCTGTGTTTGTTAGTAGGGAGGTAAGTTTTCTGTATTTTATTTGAGTATTACTTTTCCAGGGAAGTTTATTCTAATTTAATTAGTTTGGTTTATTGTCAGTTATTTTGGCTGAACCCCTCCCAGTGTAATTTTTGCTCCTTATTTCTGTAAATAAATCATATTTTCTTGTTAATTCTCAGTGGTTGTGTTTTTGGTTTATATTTTGGGGTGAGAGAAAGCGCGGGAGCACAAGGGATTATATTTTTAATCCCTGTTATCTTGTTACGTTTTGGTTAAACCTCTTTGATTAAGAATTTTTTATTTAATTCGTAACACAACACAAATAATTGAGTTAACTTAATAGTTTTTGTAAATTTAAGTTGATTGAACAAAACAATTAAGTTCTCTCAAAAAACCTCAAGAATGGTGTTAATTTAGCACATATTAAGAAAGTAGTTTAAACAAGCAGAAAGCAAGTCTTTTTTTTTTTGAGTAATATCCTTCAAATTTAAAACAATTATTCTACAATTATAGAAAATACTTCTTTTAGAAGGTACTGCTTCAAGAATCTACTACATACTGCTTTTTCTAACTGCATGTTATAATTAGAAGTAGAATAATCGACTGAGCAATTTTCAATTGATACTCACCACTCCCAGTATATAATAGTTAAAGAAGTAGTCGTTACATTTGGACGGGACTTGCTTGTGAGGGGAAGGTGAATGGATCTTCATCTGAGAAGTACAAAAAAGGAAAAGAAATGTTAGGATTAAGAGTAAATGTGGAGAGGGAATGTGCTGGTTTATTTTTGAGAATGTGGCTAAAGAATAAACTAGACTGCTCATTACTTTGTCCTCTGATTTGTAGAAGACCTTATGTGGGGAGCCAAGAGCACTCAAAACATCCTGACAGGAATCTCCAAAGTAGATGCTTCTCTCTACGGCTCGC